TTGCCCAACGTTTGTAGCCTATGAAAACTTTAAAACTACTTATTTCCATGGACCAGGAAAAAAAAAAAAATTAAAAACACTACTCATTTGCCAATCACTTACATTATGATCAAATATATACATATTTTTCTAAATTAACTTGTTCTAGATATTCTATTTGGGTTTAGGTCTATTATCTTTACTCCTTAGGCCCATTTACTATGAAGGAGTTTCCTGACCGTCATCATTTTATAAAGAGAGTCTTCATCTCCATTGTCATAAGCAATTGCGGTACACTACCCTCTTTTTCTATCGGAATTATATAAAGGAATTACTCGCGGCCACCACCATGGGGGCCTAGTCTATAAAAACTCAAAGACAACCTCAGGTTTTGTCCAGATAACCACGTCTAAACATAACTTGACTTAAATTGGACAACTTTTTCTTCTCCAAAACTTTGGATCTTCGAGGCAAATGTAGAAGTTTAGAGTATATTTCATATCTCGATTGCTGAAATTCAAAATCATAGATTGGCACTTAAAATTAGAGGAATCAAATCGGCAAAATAAATCGGGCCAATATATATTACGTGCCCTTAAAATTCTCGTGAAGAGATTCAGTTTTCTTGATGCAAAAAACTAGCTCAATAGTCAATATAATACGTACCCTCACCGTATATTTAAAAATATGAAAAACTTTTTAGAAATTCGATCAATCATACTATATAGACAGACAGTTAGTTACGCCAATAAAGCTGCATAATCTCACAAATTATTACTTATAAAATTTACAAGAACTTCTTCCATTAAACATAACTGTAATTTAATGTTCGGCTAAAAAATTCTAATTATTTTGCTTATATATATATTTTAGCAGCTTCCCTTTCAACGTTTCACGTAGTAGTTATGAATTTCCTATCTATTGTGATGTATTTAATGCAGTGTTGCTAAATCCGACTAAGGCATTGATTTGGCCAGGGTATTGAGTTACTGGGTTATTGGTCGGACCGGTGGGTCACTGATCAGACCGGTTGACCCGGATATATAGATATATAAAAATATATATAAATATAAACTTATAAATTCACTTATATTCTTCATATCTAAAATGAATTAAACAAGGTTCACTAAATAAGCTAAAAAACATGAAGCATAAATAAATAAAAATGCACGTTATTACTATGTCAATTTAAATTGCAACTCATAATTCGCATAAACAAACCTCATAATGACATTGAACTCATATTTTTCAAATTCAACTACATTAAAATGACATACGTCACATTCACTAATATATTATTCCGCAAATTGCTTTAGTATTGGAAATCAAAATTTGATGTCATTGTAGAAGAGTATACTAGCAAATGAAATTACCAAAAAAATTTAAAATGAGTTCAAATTTTTTTCTGATAAGATGAAACAGTTTTGATTTTTTGGTTTTTTTTTTTTTAAAAAAATGCATGACCCGACGGGGTCACTGAGACATCGATTTTAACCGAATTTTGACCGAATCGATGCATGACTGGTTCAATACTTGACCCGAACTGATCTGATGACTGATTCACCAAATTTCGAGTCGACCCGACCGAATCGGGCTAGATTTTATAACAGTGATTTTATCATTGTTCGCTGCAGCAGAAAATTGTTACACTTTCCTTTATTAGTCTATAATCATGATTACTGGACATGATTTACTTTATGTTACAGTTTCAGGGCATGTTAGTACATAGTATAGGATAAATCCTGATAGTATAAGACCTGATAGTATAAGGTCTGATTGTATAAGATCTGATTGAATTTTAATACTATCCAGCGTTTGGCACGGTATTGTATAAAATAATATATTGTATAAGATAATATCATCCGGTATTTGGTAAGGCACTATATAATACTATATAGGATACAAATAAATATTTTTAATAAGAATTTATATAATTCTTCAAAAAATATCATATGATATTAATTTTTTAAAAAATTTATTGATCAGTGTGTCCAAAATATAAATTAATTTTTATAAAAGTAAAAATATTTAGTATTTTAAAAATTAATATATTGAAAAATTAATTTTTATTTTAATAGATTAATATTAAAATAATATATTAATTTTTGAGAATTACATTGGTCAACGATGTTAATACACCAATCTCTTATCAGGCCTTATCTCTCCCCCTTAGGCCAGATTAAGTTATACATTGTTTTGATGTATTAAGAGATTCTGCTGTATAAACTTATACTATACGATGGTCACACCAAACAACTGAAAATATCATAACGTATAATATAAACTTATACTAAGCCTTATACGTCACACCAAAAAAGCACTCGTTTGCCACAACATCCGACATTTTCCAGTTATATATGTTAGCTCTCTGTCGATTCATCCTTAGCACCTTTGTGAAAGTTCGATATGAGAACCCCAACTAGTCTACGACATTCCATTTTAACAAAATTCATACGACCTATCGTTAGTATCGAATACTAATCAATGCCAATTTTACGTACCGGTGCTGCCCTATCTCATGAATTATTAATTAATTAATGTAAAATAAAATAATAATTTTAACTTTACTTAGAAAAGTAATTAAATTATTTTGTATCCAATTAACAAATCTTAATTTTATTCTTCTTATCTTACTTATTCATTATATACTAATATTTAAATAGGAATCAAATCTATTTGAGATTGGGTATAAAATAAAACCAATTTTATCATATTTAAATTTTTTTATTGGATTTTCAAACTCTAACTTAACTATTCTTATCTTATTTAGTTAACTATTATATATTAATATTTAAATAGACAACATAAGGACTCATGCTTACTAGTGTAAATTTAGTTAACTATTATATATTACACCCAATTTCTATGTAAATTCTTATGCTCTTATGTTCCAAGTCTCGTCAATTGAATGGGAAGTTGTATGGTGTATGTTATAGTGTATGGAAACATTAAATAACTTTGACTTAATTTTTTTTTATTAAATAATACGAATCATTTTTTTGTGTGGAAAAGTTGATCTAATTGACCCTAAGTTAGATAAATTAGGTTAGAGTCGACAAAATAGGCTGTAGCCTGCAAGTCTCTTCCACAAGCACTTCACATATGGTAAAATTGTTATCCTTATTGTTTATGTGGATGACATAACAATTATAGGTGATGGTCATAAGAATTGCATTCCTTGAAAAAGTATCAAGCAGACCAGTTTGAACTGAAGGATCTTGGAAACCTTCAGTATTTTCTTGGAATATTGGAAGTGGCTCGGAGCAAGTTAGGAATCACTATTACTCAGAAGAAGTATATCCTTGACTTTTTGCGGGAGACAGGCATACTAGGGTGCAAGTCACCCGAGACCCCTATAGAACCTAACGCTAAGTTGGGCATTGAAGATGGAAAAGAGGTAGACATGAAACAATATTAATTAGAGATTAATTGGAAAACTGGTTAACTTAACCTACACTCGACCTGACATTACCTTTACAGTAAGCATGTTTAGCCAATTCATGCACTCACCTAGGGAGAAAAACTTGGGTGCTATCCACAAGATCCTTAAGTACCTCAATAACACTCCTAACAGAGGACTATTCTTCAAAAATAGATTTAAGAGCATGATTGAAATTTATACTGATGCAAATTGGGTTGGTTCATAAGTGGATCGAAGATCTACATCAAGCTATTGTACCTACGTGTGGGGCAACCTTGTCACTTGGAGGAGTAAAAAATAGACTACAGCTGCAAGAAGCAATGTTGAGGCAGAATTATGGACTCTAGCTCATGGAGTTTGGAAGGAAGTCTGGTTGAAAAGACTTCTTGAAGAATTAAAGAAATGTCTGTCGCAAAATACATATTTTCTTGTAGTGCAATTAAACTATATTGCAACAACAAAGCTGCTATTAACATTGCTCAAAATCCTATTCACCATTATAGGAGAAAACATGTGAAAATTGATTGTCACTTCATTAAAGAAAAGCTAGATGATGAAAAATGTGTATGCCATACGTTCCTACCAAAGAGCAAGCAACAAACATCCTTACCAAAGGCTATATATATAGACTAGCGTTTGAAGATCTGATTGACACACTCTTGTTGCACACACGTGGTTATTCTTATTATTCCAAAGAAAAGCACTTCGGTTAGCCTACTTTTCAAAATTAATGTTTATGTTAGAAATGTGACAGTCAAATGTCAATGGTAACTTCGTTACGAAAGTCATGTCCATTAGGGTCCATATAGATTTGGCCGGCGACGAAAATGATTTCTACATTGTTCTCCTCCTAACCTCGTTTCTTTTTATAAAGAACTCATTCAACAATCTACTATAATTAATTGGTTACGTAGAAATAAAAATAAATAAATAAAAAGACAAAGACGTTAACGGAATGTGGAAATTCTATATATGAAGAAAAAAAAAAAGTTAACGTAAAAAGATCAACACGTTTCTATTGCCTCGATGTGACAATCGACTATAAGTAAAATTTGATTTAAAATAAAATCTTTTGCTTGTTGCATTTGAAAAACAAATAAATTAACTGAACACGACCCTCCCTGAATATGATCTAGTTTTCTTTTTTGCATAAAAAAAGGACCCATGACTTAAATCCATCTAACGCACAAGCGACATGTTATTAATTTGGTTCAAGTTAGCAATGAAAATTTGTTCTTTCCGGTCATTGAGATTGGTCTAGAAACGAGAGATTTCAATAATTTAAATGAAATTATAACTTCAAATTTCAGTGTCATTATTCCAAAAAAAAAAAAGTGCCCATTTTCCATTCTAATTTAATTCAATTTTACATGTTTGGTTTAGATTTTATTTTTCCTATTCCTGGCGCGACCTAACCTGTGAGCATATAAAATAATACACAAATACATACGAGTAGAGAAGCAAAAGATAAAACAAAAGGAACATATAAAATATGCACTTGACCAATAACAAATCTTTTTGCTTCATTGAATTAGTCTAACTCAAATTAACAATATTCTGCTTTAATATTTTTGTATTGGACCCTAAATCAAGGGTTCATTTAATAGTCCCATATGGACTCATCCTGTATATCTTCCCATCCACTCAACTCTAAAACATCATCACGATAATGCATCATAGATGACTCATCAAACCCAAACTTGAGTGCCTCTGCCATTTGCATCCACATCTTTGGTGAATCCAATGGAGACTCATTGATGGCTTGAATTTGACTCGGTGACAACCCCACCCTCGCAGGAACCACGTTATCCTTATTGTTATTAGTGCCACTTCCCTCAGATGATGATGTTATTGGTCTTTTGAACTTGAATGCTGCTTGTTGAGCTGCAAGTTGAACATCCTCGGCTCTAGAACTTGCGGGTCGTGGCAGAGTCTCAGCCAATTCAGGAAAGTTAAGCTTTGCAGCGTGTCCTTTGAAGTGCAAGGATGCTACATCATATGCTGCTGCTGCCATTTCTGGTTCCTCGTAACTCCCTAACCATATTCTTTTTTTCTTACCAGGTTCCCTAATTTCTGACACCCATTTCCCCCATTTTCTCTTGCGAACCCCTCGATAGGTTGTTGGGGTGATGACACATTCTTGCATGCTGCTTGTTTCTTCCATTCAATGGGTTACTAGTGAGTGATTGAGTGTTATAGAACAAGAGAGGGAGTGATGGGATCATATGTATATATGAAGGGAAAGAAGAAGAAGAGGTAAGCTTCCTGGTGGTTACGTAAGTGGGAACATGCTGTCAGTGAGAGGGCAATAGGTACGTTTACTTGGCTTTTGTATTATTGAGTTTGTGTGATGTCACATGGTTAAGTATTTCCGGGACTTGAATTTTAATAGTTGAATTAATAAACCCTTCAATTTCACTTGTCTTGTATTTTGCATAGAAACTTTACTATTATTACTATTTAACAAAAAACAGTCATTTTTGCAGGCTTACTCATTTTCATTAGTTTTAATTTTTAAAGTAAGACCTTTTTATAGTCTATGTTTGTTATGGAAGTATTGGGGTGAGGTGTAAATGAGTCAAAGAACTTATTAGAGCCTATAGTTATGGCTCGGTCTAGGTCAAACTTAGCTTAATATATTTTAGTGAAATAGAAAAAGCTCGAGCCTTTAAAAAAACTTGTTTAGAAAATAGTCTATTTTTCAACTTTTACATGGTTTGGCTTACAAATTTATGGGTTGATCTATATCGTATTATTTATTTTAATTAAAGTAAAAAATAAATTTAAATATAACATAATTAATAAAATAATATTATTAATAAAATAATATTATTTTAATTATTTTTTCAAATTCTTTATAGATATTGAAAGTTTGATATGCTTAAATAGAATAATATGCCTAGGCAATACATTTTATTTTTTAATATAGATCAGATCAAGCATGTAATTAGTTTATATCAAGTTAATAGATCATATCAAACTCAAAATATTTTAAATAAATCTAACTTAATTAGAACAAACTCTAACCTGACCTAACTCATTTACACCTCTAATGAGTGTAAATGAAACTAAGAGTTATTTAGCATAAAAGAAAAAAAAAGAGTATTGTAAGATTCAGAAGAATGATTGCTCAAATTAAAAGTGATGGTTTTGTACCAAAGCGTGTAAAATCTCCTCTTTTTCAAAATTGAAGAATTATATATGAATAATGAGTTAAATGTTAAAAAAATTTAAAAAAAGAATTGCAAAATCAAACAGATAAAAAAAACATTATGATTTGTTTACTAGGCTCGGAAGTATGCGCTAAAAAGTAAATGGCGGTGCTCCATTTACCTACCACCCAACCACATGGTTATGGTAATATTAACATTTTATTTTGTTTAGTTTCTTCTTCTAGAACATGTATAATTCTTTCACTCTCAAATTAAATCAATCCAGGAATCAGTAAAAGGACATACCTGTAAAACTCGTTTGAAGACTCGGACTCGAATTCTATCCTTCTACTAGATTCTTTTTCTCTAAATAACATTAAAGCACAAAATACAATGAAATATTGTACCAAAAAGAAATATATGGTTGGCAGTGAAAATTTCTTGAGTATAAGAAAATATAGCGAGAACTATATATGGACCCAAAATTATAGAAAAGTGAAAGGAAATGAGGAAAAATAAGACAAAGGTGGGGATGGGATTCGCCTTGTTGAATATGAAAATCAGATTGAGGAGCTTGAATAAGATAAAAATGATAAGGCTTTAATGTTTTTACACTAAACACAAGTTATTTATATTTACTCTCAAAATAATGTCGTTTTACATTGAAAGATTAAAAAATTAAGATGATAAAAACTGTTGTAACCTTAGAATAAAGTATAATTATAAAAATACCTTGATTTGTGCCTCAAAATAATGTCATTTCGGACTCAATGCAAATAACTTATATGCATTCGATCACCGTAGAAAAAACAAATCCAAATGATAATTTGCACACACAAAAAATGACTATATATGAAAAGGAAGGGAAAAAAAACTTTTGCCTATACATTTTGCAAAATAATAAATACACCCATAGAAACAAAATTTAGTGTTTGAATACTGTTTCTAAAAACAGTTTTAAAGTTTTCAGAACAAAAAAAAAACAATTAAAAGAAGTTTTGAAAATTGTAACTATTTTTTTTTAAGAATCAAATTTGAAGAACATGTCTGAATTGCTTTTATTTTGCGTTTTGACTTTTAACTTTTAAAAAAAACACTTATTTCCATAACTATTCTAAAAAATAGTTTTAAGAACAAAAAAAATCTGAACACACTCAAACAGATCCGAGATTCTGAAATATGTTATTCTTCTTCATTATTATGGCATCTACACATTCAGAACAATTCATTTTTTTATTGATAATAAATTTATTTTTATTATAGGAAAAATATTTATCCTTTTAAATAACAGTTATTTTAGTCAAAACTACGGTATTTTATTTGGTATTAAAATTAAGAAGAAAAATCTCTCACTCTCTCTTAGCATGATTTTTATTATGTAATTGTTTCTCTCACCATAAAATATAATAATTTTGACTAAAATGACACAATGTTAGATCCTTTAAAAGCACAAATACTACTCCCTTCAATATAAACTATTTTTAAATTTCAGGATATAAATTTTCAATTTCCTTTGGTATATAAACTTTTCACTTATTATTAAAAAGGTTTGGTATTTCTCCTTTACAATAAATTATCTCCCGTATTATTTTGAAGTTTGAAAAATAAAATAAAAGGAATTTGTAAAAAATTCATATTGGGAGCGAAAAATAAAATTCTCAAAATATCTCTTTATTTTTTTTCACCCAACCTAAAAGTAATGTCATTTTTTTTGAATGGATGAGATAGTTGTATATCATATCATAAGAAAAATATTTTTCTTTAATAAAAATAGAGTAAATATCATTTTGGGTCTCTAACAAAAAACACGGTCCCCATTTTAGTCCCTTACAAAAAAAATTAGTCTCGAAGTCCCTAAGAAATTCAAAATGGACTCATTTAGTTAAAATCGTAGTCCCTCACAAATTCAAAAAAGACCCACATTAGTTCCTCAAAAGGACTAAAATAGGTCCAATTTGAATTTCATAGGGACTAGACGACTAATTTCTTTTTGTAAGGGACTAAAGTGGTGACCATATTTTTTGTTAGGGACCCAAAAGGATATTTACTCATAAAAATATTTTGAGCTAGTCAAAAGATGGAAGTAGATCTATTTTCTAGATGGGTAAAATATGTTGATCTGTTGATGACTGCAGAGACAGTGTTATGGACCAAAACTCTTTGGAGTCATCATGCTAGTCTCAAGCAAGCTAAGGGTGAAAGGGGGGTATATTGTGCTCGGTTATGGCTGTGGAAGAGATTTGATAGAATAACAACAAGCTTAAGTGATGGGAAAGATTATCATTCTCATTAAATGAAAACTTCTATTAACATGGGATGTCTAATATAATACTTAAGTGCTCGGTTGTGTTACCCTTGATGTGGACAAAGACATGCGTGCGTGGAAAATGTAACACCCCATCGGCCGCCGGTGCATTAACATACAACTTTACAAGTCGCAATATATATATATATATATATATATATATATATATATATATATATATATTATACGCGGAAGCTCATTGACCTTACCAAGTGAATAAAATTGTTTTCCCCTTTTTACCTTATGTATTGCAATAAATGAAATAATGCAATGTCCATCAATAAAAATCTTGTCTCACTTCATTAAATAAAATACTAATCATGTTCCTAGGTCAAGTAGGCATAACCACATCCATACTCATGGTGTGGCATATACATAATCCCAAATCAACAATAAAAACAAGATTATTTAATGGTGGCATAGATAATCCATATGCTCACATCAAAGAAACGTACATAGTCTGGCATATAATAAGCATGTCCAAGTAAATACACACATATAAAGTAAAATCCATGCATGTTATGCTAGAGTATCTTCACCGGCCTCTCCTCTTGCCTCGAGGAGCATCCAACTCATGGATATTAGCACTTAAAAAATGTTTCCCAATGGGTGGGATGACAATCTCAGTAAACTGGGATTCTCAAAGGATCACTTCGTCCTTACAGGTATAATAAGTACAATAGAATAATAAAATGCATAATGCTGGATATATAACATGTAATATGTGCAATATCAATATCTATTGGCCAGAGACAAGTACGCATTACACAAGTTTATAATATACTAAAAATATATTGGGCTTCCCCCCATATCCTACACCCAAGGATACCGCCTGCACATGTAGGACACACTATCACATGCATTATACCACAAATCATTTCCAAAGATATCGGATATATATCATTGCATAAATCATTTTCCTAAAAAAATATCATGCATATAAACCAACCTCCCATGGAGTTTGGTGGAAGAAAAAGGGATTAACCATGAGAATCGAAGCTTACCTGTCGCCGCTAAGTCCTCCAACAATAACCCGGTGTCTAAGAGATCACCAATGTGGTATCCAACAGTGTCACAATCAGTTTCCACAGTGTACATACAATCAATATACATATTCTACACCAAAATCTGTAAAGAAACTCTATTTCATTTTCGTTTTCCATGCGTAAGGCTCTTTCTAAAACCACAAGTGCTTAATCTTATAGCTTCTGACTTATATTCATTTTATAGAGGTCCCTACAGTTCAATTAAGGGTCCTAGATCATTACAAAGGGTTCTGCCCGAACAATGCACCAGAAAACATAAAATCATGGCAATATTTAGATATTTGTCGGGGACATATCCGGATATCAATATACAGATATCTCTAAGTGCATATTCGAATGGGAAAAGTGTGTATAATTTTGAAGGATGTAAAGTTGTGTCATTTTAAGAGAGAGAAAGAGATAGATAAAGGAGGAGAGAGAGTTGACAAAAAAAATAAAGTTGTGGGTCCCACCTCTTTGTGAGAGTGAAAGGATGTAAGTTGTGTAATTTAAAAGTATAGACACTTTTCCCTATTCGAATATCCATATTTCGGATATTTCACGACAGAAATGCAGTTTTGCCTTCTACTCGAAGATATCCATCAAGGTTCCATTTTTAGCACTAATAGAGGTCCAAGCTTGCGTTTTTAGGTATTTTCATGCTAGTACTCACCTAGGCTATCATATTGACTCATTTTACATGCCCAATACTCAATCTTTTCTTAGAAAATCAAGGTAAAAAATGTAAGGCTCATACCCAAAGCTTCAAAATAGAGGAAAGGAAGTGTCTTTAAGGTCCTTAGTCTACTCTCCACTTCTGCCAAGGAAGGAATATGAAAATGGCTTGTTCAAGTTGGTTCTTTTTCTACAAAGATGGCTCCTTAGTACTCCAATGAGTGTGAAAATGGCTCCACTCTACACAACAAAGAAGGGCAGCCATCAACCCTCACAAAACAGAATCCAAGACACTCCAAGAATGAGTTTTTCTTCCCAAAGACATAAGCTTTCAAGTGTTTAAGGTTAGGAAAGTTTTTCTTCCATGGAAGAAAGGTGAGGAAAGTTGGTGTCTTTGATGATTTTCATGAGAGAAAGCTCAAGTTTGCTTGGAGAGGAACAAGAGAGAAACCTAAGTGTTAGAGAGTGTATGCTAGGTAGGTTGTGTGAAGAATGAAAGAAAATTAAGGGGTTTTAGTCATTTAGACTGGTCACTTAAACTACCGGCACTAGTTTGGGCACCTCTAACCCTTATCTTTTCTTTTAAACTTTGTATTACTGACTTAATATATTTTCTAGCAATTTTCCTTAATTTATTTTGTATTTCGGGTCATTTCGCCGATACCCATTTTTAATGCAAAATATATAGTATTTATATTTTTCTCCAGAAAAATGATTTAGTTCAGAATTATGATTTTCTTATAAGTTTTAATTATGAAATAATTTTCCTAAATTCATAAATTATTATTATTAATTAACTAGAATTCTAATTTAACGGTGCAGATTCTTATAAAAAAAATGAGAGAACACATGTATTTTGGAGTCATACACTTTACGTGTTAAATATTGTTTTTTTGGATAAATCATAAGTATTTTTTGCGGGAGACAATCTTATTAAAACTGAGAATATTCACATAATAAGGAGGCTAACTCTTCCAAAAAAAAAATTACATTCATAACGACTTGGAAAGGCAAATGTTTGAAACTTTGCCATGCAACAAATTATTCTAACCGAACAAGGTCCTGCGGCCTGTCCAAAACCATTATTTTTTTGTTGCATAAAAAGAAGGGGAAAATGTGTGTTATTTTAGATGACACATCTTACATCCTTTTATTTTTACAAAGAGGTAAGATTCATATTTTTTAAAAAAAATTTCTCCACTCTTTTCTCATGATTTATCTCTTTCTCTCACTTAAAATAATAATTTTATATCTTTTAAAATGATATACATATTTTTCTCTGAAAAAAAATGATGTATGTTCAAAATTTAAAATTTCTCTGTTCAAGTTTGAACTGGAAAAAAAACAAAGAAGTTTTTTGGGGAGTTGTTTGTTGTTACGTTGCTTACCTGACGTGGTACGCGTATGTACGGATTGGGACGGTGGCGCTGCAGTTTTATCTTTCCTGAGGTACATTTCATTATCATAGAAAAACAGTACAGAAAAGTAAATATATGTGGATAAGTTAAAAGAATGATTTGCTTTGTTATTGGTTGTTTTATGATGATTCATTGATGCGCGTATGTTTAAAATTTTTGTAATATCTTTCTTTTAATATGGATAGTATGGATATTGAATAAAATAATATAAAATTTATTATAATAATTTTTGTTACAAATTATATTACACACAATAAAGTTAAAAGATGAAAAATAAGGGTTATTAATTTTTTCTTTTAATTTATGGACAAGATTTTAGAATTTAATTCAACAAATAATCAAAATTTCAAATTTTATGCCATTTTTAAAAAAATATTTAAGCCTAATATTTATGTTATTTTAAAAAATAAATAAAATACGATTTTTTTATGCTATGCTATCTTTGTTTTTTTAACAAATTAAACAAAGTGTTGGGAGTAGCTTAGTCGTAGGAACTTTCAAAGTATGCGTATATCCAGCTGTTAGCCTGTCACAAAACGAGTCATGGATTTTGAACGAGATTATGAATTCAGTAATGTCATGGAATCACGTGCTATTAAACTAAACTAAATTGTACTTTTGGACTTTGGCTTCCCAAACTACCCTAAAGACAAAAAAAATAGAGTAAATACTCTTATCAATCTACGAAGTCTTTTTTAGTCCCTGGCAATAAAAAAGGACTAAATTGATCCCTGAAATTACAAAAAAAGGGCCATGTTAGTCCTTATGTCAACTCCCAAATATGTAGAGTGACCCTTTTCTTGTACTTTCAGGGACCAATTTGGTCCTTTTTTATTGCTAGGGACTGAAAAGGACTTCGTAGATATTGCCCGGGACTAAAAAAGGTGTTTACTCTTAAAAATAATTTGATATATACAAGGACATATTATATTTACAAATTTTTTTATTTACAAACTACACTATCTTCTTCTGAGAGAATACTAGTCACACCATCTTCTCCCGAGAGAACATAGTGTAATTTGTAAAAATTTGTAAAAAAAGTTTGTAAAGGGATCGTTTCTCATATATGGGACAGATTATATTTACAAAAAAATTTGTTTACAAATTCTTACAAACTACACTATCTTCTTCTGCGAAAACACTTATTTCACTATGTTCTTCCGGGAGAATATAGTGTAATTTATAAAAATTTATCAAAAAAGTTTGTAAACGGATCCTTCCCCTATAACTATAAAGAAGAAGATTATATTTACAAATTTTTTGTTTATAAATTCTTACAAATTATATTAAGTTTGATCGATCATACTTCAATCAAGAGTGTATGATCGATATATTTAATATAATTTGTAAAAAAAAAATTGTAAATGAATTATCTCCCATCTATAAATATCTTTTATCTGTTCAATTTTGTATTGATTGTTAAAGGAATAATCACTTATTTAGTGGGACTTGTTTTTTCATTTGTACCCATTTTGGGTTTATTTACGGGCGTTTTTCATTGTTTACGGCTTAATGGATAACATGACAATAGTTCTACTGCTCACAAATTACTATCTTAATTTTGCTGTGTATATTAATTTATCTTATAAAGCAGTAATCACGAATGAGCAGTGTTCAACGTAATTTTGCTCAACTTTTTAAGCTTTAGTTATTCTTGAGTGAACATTAAAGTTTCAGCCTATGTAACACCGATACTGACACGGGACACGTGACACGATACGATACGACACTCTAATACGTTAATTCTAAAAAAAATTAGATTTTGACACGTTAAGACACGTCTTGATATTAAATAATATTTTTAATTTATGTAGTATATATTATATTTAATATTCAATAATTTAACAAAAAAATGAATCTAAACTTATAATATTCATAAATTTTGTAAAGAAACATAAGATATCTCAAATATTTATATTAAACTCAATAAAATGGTAATCGTAATTCAAAGAATTTAATAGTTGGAACTAAAAACTCAACGCAACGTAACCTTTGAATCTTTTTTGAATTTCTATAACGCGTGTTGGAGTGTCGAAGTGTCCGAGAGTGTCGGAAAGTGTCGAACACGACACGTCAGAATTTTTGAAGTGTCGGTGCTTCATAGGTTTCAGCTATTAAAGCTTAAGAAACAGTGGCGTAGCCACACACCTGCTTGTTTTAATTTTTTTTTATTGATTATATATATTACATAATTAATTATAATTAATTAAGATTAAAATTATAATTTGGCACCACCTAAATAGAAAATTAAATGCTCAATACAGAGTAACAACAAAGTATCTAAGTGCAAACAAATAATAAAGAATGTGTACATTATGTTATTTTTGTGTTTCACCTTCTTTTATTTTTATCTTGTATGTTTGTTTTTTTTTTGCTTTATTCTAATTAATTATGTTATTTATTTTTATTCCTATTATTTTAAAAAAGAAAGACTTCTAAACTTAATCACAAAAAATGATTAGTTGATTTATTTCAAAATTTGGACTTAACGAAACCAAATAAACCCCTTAAAATTACAGAAAATGGTTAGTCCTTTTAAAGGACAGAGTTATATAAAATGGTTAGATTGTAACTTTCTTTATCTGCTTTCGATGAATAACAAGGATTTATATAAATGTCAATATCAAGGTTGTAATTTATGATTGAGATTCAAGTATGGGCCTTTTACACTAATAATTCCAGTATAAATGTATATTGTGTTATTATGTTTCTCCTATTCTTTATCTCTCAGGGTTTTGAGAAGACAGAATTGTTCAAGTAGAAGTCTGATTTGTTTTTTGGCACTGTTTCTGTAATAGGTCTCTCACAATTGGTCAAATGCAAGGAAAGTTTCAGATGGTAGTTGTCAGACACACAGGGCATGCTATTCAGGTTTTGTACTAGTCATGTCTTTTGGTGCATTTCATTATATCGTTTTCTATTTGTAATCTAACAGCTTCTAGCCTGATATATTTAGGAAGATGTACCTGATGAATTTGCAACTCTGATTATCAACTTTATTTCTCGTAACCGAATAGGCCCTCATGGAATTGAGGTATGTATCTTTCTGATCTCTTATGGATGCTGTTTACTACTGTCCTGCAGATGGTACTAAAGTATCGTAGCATGATAGAGATTGGTAGGAAAATAACAGAACAGAGATAATGAATTCAAACAACCTCTATCTAAAATATAATCTTTAATTTAATTGCCAACTCTTGGTTAGAATTCTCAAAAGGGAACAAGGGTTACAAAAGAGAACTAACCTGAGATGGAAACTAACAAATGAGATAACAGGCAAGACAAGGGAAAATACTGAGGCTTGTTCAAGAGGTCTGAGAAAATTTTTCCAAATTCTGGTTGGCCTGCCCAAAGATCTAATTTCTTAATTGATGCCCCTTACTCTTCCAGAGTTCTTTTATAGATCTGACACTCTTCCCTAGTTGACTGTTCTGCATAATCATTATTGTGTTCAATTTCCATACTCCACTATCTTCTCACCTCTCCAAAGAATTGTACAGCTGACTTGGGTTCCACAAGCATTGAATCTTGTTTTACTACTCCACGGTTCACCCCCGTTACCTTACACCTCCCTCTCCTTGTTTTTACCGTGAAGGGAAGGTCTGTATCATAGCATTTACGAGAGGGTTTTGTCCCTATAATGAGAATACTATGGCTCTGTTTTTATTGCATCAGAACTTGGAGCGGAGTTTCTCCATTCTAGATGGATTACTTTAAGTCTGTAACCTTACATTACAAATAGGCACTTCACTTGGGAGCATCAACCTCATACTCAGTGGAAAGTGGAGTTTTTTTTTTTGGTGGGGGATGGGGGTTTTACATTGGAGGGTACGGAAAGAAAAAACTAAGTAGCTATAAGAGTGAGGTGGGGCAGAGAGGCCCCTAAATCATCAGAAAACAGAAGCAAAGATATATCTCTATGAGGAGAGATCCATTCATGCAGTTCAGTGTTGTGATTCATTACCTAGTTAGCCATCCAATCTGTGGTACGGTTGCCTTCTTTGAGAGCATGGGCGAACCTCAACTTCCAATCTTTGCTTCTACATATGACTTTTCTGTGTATTCTGTCATAGATAGAGTAGCTCAATGAAGGTTGATTGATCAAGGAAATGGCAGCCTTTTTTTTATAGGATAAACCACAGGTATTCTTCATGGGAGGCAATACTGTTCGAGGCGGGTCCAGGATTAAGGTTTTAAACCCTTCCCAGAGATGATATTGGGAAGGATCGAATAAGTGCTCTCACTCCCACCTGCCCAGCTCCCTTGCGCCATCTGAGCTATCATATTTGGCAGAAATGGCAGCCTTTGAATCACTCTGCGCCATCTGAGCTATCATATTTGGCAGAAATGGCAGCCTTTGAATCACTCTAGATAATAATTTTCTTACAATGTTTTCTTCATCCCATTTTGGTAAATAAGAAGCATGCAAACAAGTAAAAGAAGCAAACACTCAAATAATATGGTAGTGTTAGATATCATTGAGTTCCCGTCCTCTTATAGTTTAGATTCAACACACGAACTACGCATGCGTAGTGGAATTAATTGTGATCAACGGATCTTCTTCGACAAGATGTAATGCTCTTCTGTCTGCTTCAGAGATTTTTAAGTTTTGGAATCGTAAGCATCAACAACCTTCATTCATTAAGCTATAAAAGCATCAAGAATCTACATGCACGCTTGTAACATTCACCTTTTAAAATGTGATTCGCTGTCAAGGTATAACTTTATACACTTTCCATTTGTTACATGATGAGTAACTAAAATGAATGTATCCAAAAAATAGAACTTAAATGTAATCCTTGGTAATTGGTATAGTGAAAGTTTGAATTTGTTTACAAACAAAAAAAGAATTTTATACACCTTTATATAAGGTGTGCACGACAACGATTTTGTTTATTAATTAAATTCTGTTTTTGGCATGGTTTCTGAAAATAATTTTTTTTTTTTAATTTCTATACTTGTAAGATTTTGTGGTATATCAAAAAATAGAGAGTTTATTTAATAAATAGTGTTTATCTAATGCTGATTAAATATTCTGATGTGTCTGTATTTGATAAATAGTGTCCAAGAACAAAAAAATAAAAAAATTGTTTCTTATTTTTACCTATTTGTGTTACCAGACAACCGGTTCATTTTCTGGGGGAAAAAAAATATTTCTTTTTATCAAATGTTATATCTTACCATTTTTTCCCCAGACTAAAAATAAAGGGGGAAAAAACGTTTTTAGGAATGTTATCATGCTTACCCAGAGTCCCTCTTTGTAGAATAATTCCTTTCTCCCAAATTTTGTAATTTCCTTTCCTACGCTTTATTTTTGTATTTTTGTCGGGGAAGAATTACACTTGTCTATTCGAGGGATAAAGTTTCAATTTGCAATTGATTAACTTGTTCAATGATTTAGACAGAATTCAATATCAAAATTCATTGCTCTACCAGAGAATAATAATAATAATCAAAATTAATTGTACCATGTGTTTTACATTTAATTAGATATTTTACAGTTAATTTGATTATTACACTACTTCGTCGTATTTGGCTCATATAATTATTAATAAAATTATTTTGCAGATATCTGGCCTCCGCAAGCCAGCCTTTTCAAAACCTTGAATATCAGGTATTAGATGAACCAACAATGGCAACCACTGCAGGATGACGATGGATTACTTTGATATTCCTTTCCTTTTTCTTATGGTTTGCCTTTTTAGATTTTTAGTATTATGAATACTTGTATGTTTTGTTGGGGGAGTTGTGTAGGTGAAGCATTATTTATTTCAGATTATTAACAAATATGATGAGCATTAGAGGAAGATGAGGCTGGACATAGATTTGCGCACATTACAAGTGAAATGAGTGACTTTATCATTATTACAAGTAAAATTTAGCACCACTTTTTGGTTATGCTCATACAAATATTTGGGGATTGTCTTTCAATTTGTTCATGAGGAAGGTTGCTCATAATTCAATGAATTCTTCATGCTCAAACTAAATATTAAATATACATTTCCTAAATTTTTAGACTATTACAGGGAGTATTTAAAATTTTCAATCTACTATTCAAATATTTTTACGATCAAAACACTACTCACTAAAACGGACTTTAAACGTATCATAGAATAGCTTTATTTTCAAAACAATTTGACAATAGCTTTTAATTCCTTTATTTCTTTCTTTTTTTAATTTTTTTTATCGTATAAGTTTCTTCTTTTCTTACTTTTTTGAGATGATAAATATACGAATGTAACGACGTTACTGACATTGCTATACAGCGTTATCCAAAAAAAAAAAAAAAGACATTGCTATACAGCATGTGCTTGGCATTATAGAACCCGAAAAATCCATAAATATCGGTTCCTTTAACACTTGTGCAAATTAACGTTAATTGATATTAGTAAATAAATTTTGCATAAAATAAATAAGTTGCAAAATTAACTATAATGCTCATGGAACTTAATATTAGTTTGATATTATTTTACACCACATATAATATATTTTTAATTGAATTGAGGTATCTACAACATTAGGTCTGAATTCATAAAACAAAAGCAAATATTACCTAGAAAACGAAAAGTCCAGGTCGATTATAGCAAATTTAATTCAAGGGTTTAATGAGTATTCTTTTAGCAGTTTTAACTATAAAAAAGTTCAAAAATCCCAAATAATATTGCTCTGAATAACTTGCACCCCTATTTTTTATTTTTATATTGTATCACTTAACATCCGGTGAATTTTTTATCCACATCCCTCCTTTAAGTTAAAAAATAACTAAGTATACATATTCTACCTTTCTTAAAGAATAAAATAAAGTGATAAAAATAAAATAAGATAACATGTGATGAAAATTTAGAATACTTAATAAAAGACTAAAATAAAAAAAATAAAAATCAAATGTGTCAAAATAAAAAATAAGAAATAAATGTATAAAAAAAGAAAATAGAATAAGAACAAAAAAATAGAAGAAAAAATAAGACCAAATATATTAAAAATCACAGAAGCCGACAGAAAAGACTAAAATTACAAAAAATAAAATTAATTCAAATGAAAAAATATATATATACAGAAGACAAAAAACTAGAAGAAAAAAATTAAGATAAAAACTAAAATAAAAAAGAAATGAGTTTTCGATATATTTAGTTTTATTTTTTCTGTCCTTGGTCTATTTTATTTTTTCTATTTAGATATATTTGATTTTTGTTTCACTTTTTAGTCTATTTTATTCTGATTTTCTCCTCTCTCTTTTAGCTTTATGCCACCCCATTTACTAAAGATTTTCATAAAAAATTGAAAAAAAGAAAAGAAAGAGAGAACAAAATAGAGATGTAAAAAAGATCAAATATATCTAAATAAAAAGAATAAATAGACCAAAGACAAAAAAAAAAGAAAATATATTAAAAATTCATAACAGTTATTTCTTTTTATTTTTTAATTTTTTAATTTATTTTTTATCTTCTACTTTTTAGTCTTCAATATATATTTTTTCATTTAGACTATTTTTATTTTTATTTTTAATTTTAGTTTTTTATATCACTGTTGTGATTTTTAATATATTTGACCTTATTTTTTTCTATTTTTTACTTTATTATTTTACATTTATTTCCTTTTTTTATTTTGACACATGACACATTTGATTTTTTTTTTTAATCTTTTATTAAGTGTTACAAGTTTTCATAATATTTGGTCTTATTTTTCTTTTTTTATCACTTTATTTTCTTCTTCTAAGAATAGTAGAATATTTATACATAGTTAATTTTCTAATAGTGTTAAGGAGGGTTGTAGATGGAAAAAAAATCACAAAAGAGTTAAGTGATTGAAAAAAAAACACATGTATGCAAGTGATTCAAAGAAATATCAAAGAGGTTTTTTGAACTTTACCCTTTTAACTATGCATTTTCGGTAAAGTATAGTTATAATATTAAAGTTATATTTTTTTTCTCTCTTCAGAAGCTATCTGCTAAAATGAAAAAAGTATAACTTTAATATTATAATTATATATTTTCAAAAATATATACTTAAAAACTGCTCAAAGAATGTAAGTGTTTGGTAGGAGGTGAAAAAAAAATTTCTTAAAAAAATGGGATAAAGAAAATTATTTGCTTATGTTTGGTAGTGGATGAAGTAAAAATATGGTTGAAATTTTTTTTTTCCCATCATTTGCTTTTCCCATGGGATGGAAAAATTAACACACATCATCAATAAAATTAACTCAATATTCCTGAAAAAATTTGACCTATCAAACACATTTTAGTAACTTATCCAAGAAAATAAATTTCTCATCATATTTTTTAAAATTATTTTTTTCAGTAAAAAAAATTTCTTCTACTGAACACCCCTAAGTTTGTGTAAAGGACAATCTTTTTTTTTTTTTTTTTTTTTTTTTATCTGCAAAAAAAAAAAGGACAATCTTTTTTTCTTTTTTTTTTGATAACAAAAGGACAATATTTTTCCCTTGATTAGAGCTGTCAAAAAGGGTTCAAGCCCTAGGGCCAGCCCATTTAGCCCAATGTTAAGCCCTATAAAATTTTAGCCCTATATGTAATGAGGCCATTTTAACCCCCATCCTCTTAAAGCCCTCTCATTATAGGGTTAGGTTAGGGTTGGCCCGCAGGCTACAATATTCAACTCAATTTACATAAATATGAATCATTTTTAAATGTGACATATCTATCCTTAGCATTAAAATGTGAAAATTACATAAATATGAATCATTATTAAATGTGACATTATTAGAAAAGTGTCAAATACTGACATAATTTATCGATGAAAAATATTTCGTTCGAAAATAGTGACAATTTTTTTGACAAAAATCACATTACGTCAAAAATAGAGACGAAACAAGTGACATAAATTTTTTCGGAAAAATATTCAGTCAAAATTCTTGATAGAATTTAAATTCCGTTGGAACTTTCAACAGAAATATTTTCGTCAAATTTTTCAAGGAAAAACAATTCTGTCGAAAATTTTCAATAGAAAACAATTCTGTAAAAAAATTTGTCGAAAAACATTTTCGCCAAATTTTTTTACGGAAAACATTTCCATCAAAATTTTAAACGAAACACATTTCCAGTGAAAATTTTCGACGAAAAATATTTCCGTAAAAATTTGTGACGAAATTTTTTTTTGTAAAAAATGTTGACATAAAATTTTTTTGTCAAAATTCTTTACGAAATCTAAATTTCGTCAAAATATTTGACAAAAAAAAACATATTTGTCAAAAATTTTGACGAAAAATATTTTCCTTTAAATTTTTAACGAAACACATTTCCATTGAAATTTTTTTGTACAAAGTTTTGACGAAAAATATTTCTGAAAAAAAAATTGACGGAAAAAAAAATTCGTCAAAATTCTTTATAGAATCTAAATTTCGTTAAAAGTTTTCGATGCAAATAACTTCGTCATATTTTTTGACGAAAAAAAATTTCGTCGAAATTTTCTACGAAACACATTTGCATCGAAAATTTTTGACGAAAAATATTTTCGACAAATTTTTTGATAAAAAATATTTCTATCAAAATTTTCAACGGAACACATTTCCTTCAAAATCGACGGAAGTTATTTCTGTAAAAAAATTTGACGAAAAACATTTCGACGAAAAAAATATTTCGTCAAAATTCTTTACAGAATCTAAATTTTGTCGAGAGTTTCACAAAAACATTTACCTCAAAATTTTTGAAAAAAATATTTTCGTCGAAATTTTTATTGGGACACATTTTCATCGAAAATTTTGGACGGAAAATGTTTCGTCAAAATTTTTGACGAAATTCTTTTTTACGTCAAAACTTTTGGTGGAATTTTTTTTATCGAAAATATTTAAAAATTATGTTCGTCAAAACTTTTGACGGAAACTAAATTTGGTCAAAAAATTTGACAAAAAATTATTTTTGTAAAAAATTTCATCGGATAAAAATTGCGTTCCTTTCAATGAAAAGTATGCAAACGAAAAAATATTTTTTTGACGAAATTTTTTGTTGTTTGCAACGTAGATTTGTTGTAAAAAATATGATCTTTTTTAATAGTGTAAAAAATACATAAAAAATTTAGAAGTCCCGCGGGCTGGTCCTAACCCATAGGGCTTTGGCCCGTGTGAATCTATATCATTGTGGATTTTTTGGTCTTGCGGGTTTTTTAACCCTAACCCACTTTGGCTAGGGCTAAATGGGCCAGTCTGGCCCATTTTGACAGCTCTACCCTTGATTCAATGATGATATCAATCACACTATTATTTAATTAAGAATATCACCCAGTTTCTATCGACATATTTGTATAATTAGCTTTGGTTTCTTCTTTTGGGCTTTTCAACCCAAGGCAATGCTGATGTTAACTTTCACATGTACAATAAAATGCCTACACAAACTCAATAATATTCGCCCAAATCACGTGACGCATGCCAAACTTGACCTTCGCCTAACGCTAACGCCACTGGTCATAAAAGAATTGGAGCGCCATAAACGGTCCACGTCAACGAAAAAAAGTTAGGGTTGGCTTAATAACACCGTGGCGAACGCGTTCCACTTTCCCACCCTCACAGTCACAGACACCTATATATATATTCTTCACAACTCGTTCTTAACCGGTTTTTCCACGCAATTCTCCCCATTACTCGCTCGCTTTCCCCTAACTTCTTTTTCTCTCGCGAGAAACAAACACCGTTCACGAATGGCGTCGTTTGATCAGGCACCTCCCGGCGATGCCAAGTCCGGGGATAAAATCTTTAGGACCAAATGTGCTCAGTGCCACACCGTTGAAAAAGGTGCAGGCCATAAGCAAGGTCAGCTTTCCCTTTCCCTATTATATATACACTCTCTTTTTTCATCCGAGGATTTTTTTTTTAGTTTTGATTTTCGGTTGGAATCTCCTTTGGATCTCTATCTTATTTGTTGAAATTAAGCAAAATAATCTTGGATCCATAAATTTGACCGGTAGCTTTACATTAGCCTTATTCTTCTCTCTTCATGCGTTATGTAATTTGTGTGTTTGTCTTGTAATTGTTATTGTGCCTTTATTGGTGCACAAATTGTTTATTTCTTCTGAATAATCTCCCTAAATATCATTTAATTGTTTGTTTCTATTCTGTCAATTGTCTTCTTGTCATAATTTCGGTTTAACTGTGGAGAAGTTGGTTGAAACTTTGCAAGAGCAGATTGTGCGTGAAACTTATATAAGTAGCAGTTTCAGTTCGATAATACCATTGGATCCTCAAAAAGTAATTATTCAGTTCTACTTAAAATTTAAGATCGGATGCGGTCGATTGTACGATTTCGATTGATTTGGAAATGGACTGCATCTATGATGCACTTAAGTTGTTGTAGATATCTGGGGGAGATACCTATTTCTGAAGCTTAGGAACTGAAGTTTAAACCTCCTGTTACTTTGTTCTTGTTCTTTCATGTGATAATATTTGGACAAAGAGAATTATTCATCCTTGAAACAATCCCTAGTTCGTTTGAAATGAGAGAATCTTATCAATTTAAGGATTTAATACCTATTAGAACAAGAAATTAGGACATAAGATATACTCTGTTAACCTTGTTAACCGATGGCAAGATAAAACGTGTATTTTGGTTCATGGAGAAATTCTTGGATGGGAACAACCTACCTTAGGCATGTAAATCAACCTTTGGCATGTGTATAGTTATGTTGGCCATGTTAAAAGTACAAATATCTCCATTTGTACAACTTTTAATATGTCAGAGATTGATTTGCCTGCCTCAAAGAATTTCTCTGGTTCCTGCTGTAGCTTTTACTATTATATTAAAATTTTTGGAATTATTATTTTAACAATTTCGATTTCAATGGGTAGTGTAGGGAAAAATTTAATATGCTCCAGGCCCACCATTTATTCAATGGTCCCTTTCTATAAATGGAAAATTTTCTTCCATTTCTACCCTTTTCTTTTTGATTTTTCCCCTCTCCGTCCCTCTTTTTTTTCCATTTTGGGGAGGGACCACCATTGTCCCGGCCCATAAAAAGTCTTCTCGTAGTGTAGGACCTTTAGGTGATTTACTATTTTAATTTTTCACTTTTTTGCAAAAAAGAAAATGAAAGAGCATTTGCAAGGACAATATTGTTAATACATTGATTTCCAATTTTCAGTGCTTGTGAATTGTGCTTATTTAACAATGTGATTAATTTAGTAACCATAGCTAATTGTACTTTGTCACTAAATTATACATTGTGTCCTTGTCCTAATAACATGGTTTTACCCCTTTCATTATTCTGATGCTCATATGATCATACTATGCTGCAGCAGTTATATAATTTTGTTGTTAATAGTATTTTGTTGCCTGTATCAGCTATTCACCTCCTTGAATAATGTTGTTATCGATTCTGAAGACTAAAATATTTGCCTTGTTGACAATATCAGGACCCAATCTGAATGGTTTGTTTGGAAGGCAATCAGGCACTACTCCCGGATACTCCTATTCTGCTGCTAACAAGAACATGGCTGTGATTTGGGAGGAAAAGACTTTGTACGATTACTTGCTTAACCCCAAAAAGGTACAATATAAACTAGTATTTCTATATTGAATGGTTATTAATCACTGATTATTCGAGTATGAGGTATACTTGACCAATATTCTCTTGGAATAAATGGTAAATAGTAATCATCATGTACACCCTACTTTATATAATTTTCTATTATGGGATTTAATTTTTCTACTGTAGACGGGGGAGTGCACTTTTAAATAGTATGGTAGTAAGCTAATATTGCAAGGGGGCATTGAGAATCTTTCCGCGGCAATGTGTCACTGATCTGCGTATTGTGTTATGCTTTTGTGCAGTATATTCCCGGGACAAAGATGGTATTTCCTGGTCTTAAGAAGCCCCAGGAACGTGCTGATCTTATTGCATATCTGAAAGGATCCACTGCATAGTGATTATATTTTCATACATTCAATTTGGCAGTGTGCGTTTGAAGTTCCAGAGATTTAATTATAAGACATTTAGTTCTGCCGTGCAGTTAGTACTGTATTTTTGGCAAATAAAGTAGACTACATTTGTTTGCAATGCTATTTTGTTCATTTCGCATTGCTTCTCAAGAGGCTGCCGTATATTGGCTGGTGTAACGCTCAATCAAATTATCTGTTGAAAGTTGAAACATTCTTATCAGTATTTGATTAATTGAGAGCACAATTTGGTACTGTGCTTAGCTGAATTCATTTGTCTTGTAATGTTTTACTTTGGCTTGCACTAGCTGAATACTGCACTAGTATGGGAAACGGGTAGTTGAGGTTAAACTTCCCCTTTCCGTCCCGGTCATTTCTCATTCTCTCCAAAATGCAACTTATTTAAAAATAAATAAATAAAAAATGCAAGAAAATCATAAAAAGGAAAAGCCGAAGAGGATAAAGAAGCTTTCAATGCTTTAATTGACTCAAGGCATTCAAAGGTGCCTTTGATGGCAGAAAACTCAGCAATGGCTATTACTGTTCATGTCCCTTGGCCTTCAACCTTCTGCTTTTAGGTTTTAGGTTAATATAAATTAAATTGGTTGGGAAACCAAGATGGAATTTGGTATAAGTTATTGCTTGAATTTGAAAAATTACAACAAGCTTAATAAAAATCAACTATGAATTTTTTTTATGAAAAAAAAATATTAAAATTTTTAAAAGGTACGCGGTTAACCTTAATCCATAGGATTTTTGGTCCAAGTAGAATTAAATTATTATTTGTGTTATGGCCCTGCAGATTTTTTGGGTTAACTCACATAAGCTAGAGCTAAATTGTTCGGGCTGTTTTGACAGCTTTATTTGATACTTTTAATTAGTTTTATTATATTTTATAGAGATTGATTGGATCGAACTTGAATTTAAAATCAAGTGGACAATAAAAAAATAATAATGAAATTGGATAATATGAGTTTTATCATTAAAACCAATTTATTTTAAGGGTTTAGTATTTCGCTACCATGGGAAATGATTTGGACTTTGGAGAATACAATACAAAGTATTTTGAAAAAATCCATGTGATAAAAGAGATGTAAAATTTCTAAAATGTGTTGTATTTTTTATTCTTAACCCAAAATGATATAATTTTGAATTGTAGAAAATAATTTTATTTGTATAACATGAAAAATACATTTTTCTTAATTTAATCTGCAAAAATTTCGTTAACTCTTTAAAATTGATTTAATTTGATATGCAAACATTCCTAAAGTAAAAATATTAATTAATTCCGTTGTTTTGAGTATTGGTGATTAGACTTTGGATATAACATGAGTTTTGAAGATTAATTAAGGGTTCGTTTTTTCTGCAAGTTACTGCATATAAGTTATCTGCAGTAAGCCCAATATGACGTCGTTTTGGGGGCAGAAATCATGGTATTTTTGTTATTTTAATTTATTCCAGAGTTATAATAGTCTTTATATTTATAATTTTTTAATATTTCAATATCAAAACGACGTCGTTTTGAAAATAAATGCAGATAACTTATCTGCATTAATTTGCAGAAATATTTTTTCCATTAATTAATTAGACTTTTCAATTTTATCACTTATCATGGATTCCAGTTCATATTTTATCACGTGCACCGAATTGCAAAATTACTTTCAAAATATAATTTCTATTACAATTTACTAATCCTGATCTTTATCCTAATATGCGACTCCAAGATTTAAGTTTGAGTGCTCCTACGAATCCTTTAACTTCGCTGCTCGGACGAATATCGAATTTCGAGAACTCTCGCGGCTCCCTTTGCATACTTATCCTATGATGGACTCGGAAAATTAGGCAAAGAAGGCAAAATAACTAATTATAATGCTACCACATAAGTAAATGTGTAAATTTTTATATTTACCCATAAAAATACAATATTATAGGTTAACGAGTTTAACTTTGATTCTTTATAATGAAAATTATGTTTATACTATTATCAAATCATATAATACTATACTACAATAAGAAATTAAGTGATATAATAATTATATTAATATAGAAGTAGGGGCAACAGTGGCGTAGCCACATTGGAACCAGCTAGTGCCTTGGCACTGACTGGTTTCCAAAATCAGAAATTTTTTATTTATTTTCAGTGACGGTAAATAGTTTGCTTCTTTCTTAACTGCTGGTTTTAAAACTAGCTTCTTTCCTGGTTGACTAATTTTTGATATTAATTTTTCAATTTTTTTGGCTTCGTCACTAAGGGCCAAATCTTTATGGATTATGAATTATATATGGTATTTTTAATAAATAAAAAAATAGTGCGGGACTTAGGGGCATACGACCCTAGGATCTCCAACCTCCAATGTTGTCCGCCCTTGTAATTGTCAATCTTGCCTAAGCCTTATTTAGATTTACGATATAGTTCTATTACTTGCACAATAATGTCTTCTTTTTTTATACTATATCCTCCTAACACTTTACATCAATTACTTTATTTATAACAATAATCAATAAATAAACAACTAAGCATATATTATGTTCGCAGGTGGCACACTCTTGTTGCACACACGTGGTTATTCTTATTATTTCAAAGAAAAGCACTTCCGTTATAGCCTCTTCTTTTCACAAATAATGATGTGAAATTTTACTCACCTTTCACATGAAATATTATCTCTCATTTTCTTTCACTTCGATTTTCGTACTCCACTTTTTTTTTTTTCTTGTAATAGTGAGACCCATCTATTTTCTAAATACAACATAAGATAATTATCTTATATTAAATGACACTAATAAAATCCAATAATGATTGTTAGAAATGTGACAGTGAAAATGTCAATGTTAACTTCGTTACGAAAGTCATGTCCGCTAGGGTCCATATAGATTTGGCCGGCTAAGAAAATGATTTCTACGTTGTTATTATTATTAGTCTCCTCTTTATCTCCATTTTTTTATTATAAAGAAGTCATTGAACAATCTCCTTTAATTGGTTACGTAGAAGTAAAAAAAGTAAATATAATAAAAAAAAGACGAAGACGTCAATGGATCGTGGAAATTCTATATATGAAAAAAATGAAGACAGTTTAAGTTTACAATTTTTTCATTTATAACTCCAACAACTTTAACTATATATTTAGGGAAATATATTCTCAAAGTACATTATTACAATTGTAAGAATTGTAAATAAAAAGTTGTAAATGTAACTCTTTTAAAAAAAAAATTAATGTAAAAAGTCAACATGTTTCTATCACCTCGATGTGACATGTTAAGCGTCATTTCAATCCAAAATTTTAAGGTTTTAGGTGATGGTCTTTTTAATACCTTATATAATTCTCTAACACACCCTCTCACGCAGGAGGCTCTTGGGCTTGAAGCGTGGATATGACACAAGTCCATTATTGGTCTGTCTTGTGCTGCACAAGTCCATTTTTTTTGTCTGCCTTGTGTTTTTCTTAATTCCACCTGAAATTGAGGGCGGTAAGAATCGAACTCGTGACCTCGTGGTCCCTGAAACTCTGATATCATGTTAAAGAACCACTTTAACCCAAAACCTTAAGGCTTTATGTGATGGCCTTTTTAATACCTTATATAATTCTCTAACATGACAATAGGCTACAAGCACTATTCTCAAATACGCGAATGTAAGTCACACGTGTTAAAACTTAATAAAAATGCTTTTTAATAAAAATGGATAAAAATGTTGCATAAAATAAACACATGCTTTTATATTTTTTCTTAGACCCAAATATTGAATTGGGTCAATTTTTAACCATGACCCAGAGATGTGATGATGATTGGATAGTGGAAAATGAAGAAGACCAGAAATATGTAGACAACTTAGATATAGATGAGGAAAACTTGGTTAAAGTTAAAATGAGGGAACTTATGGAAGGTCATGATTTGGACATTTCAAATTTTGTAAATGAAATTGTTACAAGAGCAAGAGAAGATGACATTGAGAATATGTAATTTATATAAGATAATGTGTTTAATTTGAATCAATTGATATAATTTAGGAGTTGTTAAATTTTATTCTTTTAATATTTTGGAATTTCGTTATAAGAATTGTTAAACTTTAAGCTTATATCTTGTATAGTTATCTTTTAATTATGAAGTTGTTCATTGAATTTTGAGTAGTGACTTATGTGATTTTTTTTTACATATATATATAGGGCTTATCATTTCTCAAACTGCCGGAGATAATTTTATCTCCGACTACTAAATCATAACTGTACAAAGATGGATCAATGATGATAAAGGAAGAGAGAGAAAAACGTAATCATAACCAATCAAAGTTGAATCAATTAATATAAGGAAACAAATAAACAAAACGACGTAGTTTTAGGGTGGCCGGAGATAAACCTATTACAAGCTGCTTGAGAAATGTTTTTCCCATATATATATATATATATATATATATATATATATATATATATATATATATATATATATATATATATAAAAGGGAGGTTATATTTACAATCTCTTTTTGCTTACAACATCTTTCAACCGAATCTGAACCGTTGATTCTGTCAATCTAACGGTTATAATTTATTGGATGACACTTATTAATTAATTATTAATTTCCCATAAAAAGTTTAACACAAGTGTTAAAGGATCATATCCCATAATTTTGTATCTTGATGTTAAATAGTAGAAACTCTATGTTCCGTGTCATTTCTACGTTTTTACATTTCTAACATCCCATTTTGTCTTTATGTGGAAACTCAATTTTGACAACATTGGCTATAAGGGAGTGTTTGGTAGAGGATATATTTTTCCATGCTCGCGAATCATAATTCACAGGAATATGGTAGGAAAATCATTTTCCCGGGAATGTTAACAAAAAGCTATTTGGCATGCCAAATTATTATCGATATTTTGTCCCAAAAAAATTGTAAAATTTTTTCAACACCTAGGATTTCAAGAATATCACCATTTGATGGTACATTCTTGAATAATATTTTGGAAGAACAAATATATATAAAACAAAATTCTGGAAAATCATATTCTCGAAAAAAAATTCAGAAACCTTATATCAAACGTGGGTAAATAAAACTAGCACTATCACTTATCCAGTAATCTCAAAAAATTCTCCCTATCAAATACCCCTAAGTAATATTTGATTCAAAACAAAGTCCTTTGCCTGTTGCATTTAACAAACAAATAAACCCATTGAACACGACTCGCCTGGAATATGATTTAGTTTTTATTTTATTTTATTTGTTGCTGTTGGAAAAAATGACCCAATGACTTAAACCCAAAATC